CCAAGAAGGAGCTTTAGTCACAGCACGCCTAGAGAGATGTATAGGAAGAGCATGCGACAAAAGGCATGACCCAATAAACATTTGGGGAGTGTATTTTCTAGAAGAGCTGAAGAGAATATTTTAACTGTTATTAGTTATGCCAGGCTTAAAGGACACTAGGCATAGTGTAAAGAAAAAAAAAAAAAATTCAAAACAAAACACCTCAGAGATCCAAGATCTGATCCGATTTCCACTGAAGTTTGTAGGGTTTTTCCCTGCAAAACATAGAGCCATCCTCAGCTACACTGTCCTCCTCCATATCTTCTCTCAATACTGATTTTAATGTATTGACAAAACAAAACAAACCCCAAAAGCCATAAACAACCCCAAGCCCCACAACCAATGAGTGTTTCAAGTTTTTATTATTTTGTTACTCAGATTCATGATAGCTGAACTATTCTCAATCCAACAGTTGCTGAGACTAATACATTGCATAAAAAAAATCTAGCTAAATTATAAAGTAAGTTTCTAGCAAAATCACAATTATAAAGCAAATTCCCAGAGAAAAAGTTTATAGTGTGATCTAGTTCATCCTCAAGACTCAGAAACCAAAAGATTTCTATTTAAAAAAATGCAGCATCATTTAACTGGCTTTGAAAAGTCATTCTTCTTGAACCAATCTCCATGTTTTGGAGAATTTTTTTGAGCCCGAAGCATGGTAGCTAAATATTTGAGTTTTGTAATTGAAGCTTGAAGGCTCATCCGATATGAATCTGATATGAATGATATGAATTTTTTAATTTATTAAAACTCACCAGAGTCTTAAGTTTTCAGCCGTGGGTGGGTCACAATACTCTACCTGGGATTGCAAACAGATCTGAGGCTAATAACCTCCCTGTACTCTGGTAAAGAAACAGGAAAGGATTCCTGTCATTTTTTTTTTGCAGCCAAGGGTATTACATGAAGAGATTGAGGAATACTGGATTATAAACACAAATGAGTACATACCTAATAGTAAATTCACAGAGCTATAGTTTTCTCTCTAACACCTTCTGCATTATGTTGCTTAATCCTAATCCTTAACTTCACAAATATTTATCAGTGGGTAACTTAATGCAAGAAGATTCTTGATGGGCAAAAGTAATTTATGTATATAAATATTGTAGGAGCAGAGTCTTTGGCAACAGACTGTAAGGCAAAGACTGCTTCTTCCTTTGAAAGTGTATAGCACCTAGAACAGTGACCTAAACCTCCTACTCTTACTGCAATATAAATATTATCAAATAATGTGCACTAGCCATTTTCCAACAGTCTCCAACAGAAATCAAATAGTAGCATGAACAACTGAACTAAGATGTCGCCATAAAAATAAGACAGCTGAATGAAGGAGTTGTGCAGTAGCAATCGCATGATTATGTATTTCTAACATCACTGACTAATTTTCTTAGAGAAACTATATTGGATAAAAAAACCCCAAAACCCACATAATCAGACTGTGCATCAGAAAACCTGGCACAACATACAGACCTCCTATATCTTGCCTCAAGAAGCTACAGTGAGCTGTGGTGGTTCTTTCCCGCTAGTTTCTCTGTTATCAGCAAGACTCTCCTCCAGTAAAGTGTAGTTACACATGAAACAGACTTGATCCATGTTTCTAGCCCCACTTCTCCAGCAACCAAAGGATGGCTCAGATTTCTGTGTAGGCTTGGGGTATGTAATGTCCTACCACTATGTTCAGAGTCATTGCCCAACTTTCTTTGGTTTTGCTTCGTTCAAGTAAGTCGATCTGTCCTGAGTCCATTGCTGACCATCACTGGCTCTTGCCTTGAACAAATGCAGGGGCTTCATCCTTACTGCAGAGTGTCTTCACATAGGCTTGCATAGAGTTCCTGTGTGTGCCAAGAGACAAAACTACCATCTACCACAGGAGCTGGGCTGTGGTCAGGAGAGGGTCATTTTAGTTTCAGTCTCCTCTTGCTCTTCCTGCATGCTTTATCACAAATGGAGCGACTACTATGCAGCCCAACACCCTTACGCAGCAAGCTGATATCTCCTGCATGCTAACACCCTCATATTCATAATACTGACTTTTGGGGACACCAGGAGACAGTCCATGTTTCTTTAGCAAAGAACCTGCTCCATCTAAAAAAAGAGCATCACTGCTGACAGCAGCACTATACTGACATAAGAACAGCAGCTCCAGGTTAGTTCAAGTAGCCTGCACCTTAAGGTTATTACCCTTTTCCCACTAGTTTCCAAATGTCCTTTCAGCTTGATATATCCCCACCTCTGCTATTCCAAAAATAGTATGCTCAGCCCTCTGCAAGACAGCAGCCCTGTTTAATTCCACAAGCCAACCTCACCAGGCTGTAAAACTCACCTCATTTGCCAGCCTGTGCAACCCTGGAATTGAAATCCCCTCTAGAAAGGCCATCGTGCAGACACATAACCCAAATACAGGCCTTTCAGCAATATGGAAAGTCTTGAGAAACCTATTTGATCATGAGAAATTTCAAGCACTGGGTAAAACCCTGATTTTTTTATAAATACCATGAAGCTCTCATTTAGATTTAAAAAAAAAAAAAAAAAGGAAAAGAAAAGAAGTGTAGTCCTGAGTTGCATCTGTACCCTGAAATATTTCTATAGTCTTTTTTATCCTGACTTTGCCATACCGTCAATAACAATACCACAACTCCTTATGTATCCTCTGTTCAACAACTGAAATCTGCTGAAGAATTTTTTTTAAAAGTTCCTACTGAGAGAGCATATCACAAGAATTTTTTAAAATAGAAATCTAAGTTGAATGATCTGTGCCTGTTTGCTGTATGAATTGATGTTGATTCAAAACCAAAAGGAAGACATCACCCCATCATCAGAGGGGATTCTAGGTCTAAAATTCAACTAAAGCGAAAAGTAGCACATGGAAAATGACATAGAGGTGTACTGCTCTCTTTGAGTTACATACCCATAAGGAGGATTATCTGAGAACATATATATGTTTGGCATATTTGTTATATTGTGAGGTTCCTCCACAGAGTCATATATTTCAGTCCAATTAATTAGAGCAGAATTGAGTGCCATCTCTCACCGCACGCATAAGTTGAAAGTTAAAGGTGCCCAGCATTCATGCCCTTCCACATAGATCTCTATGCTAAAGAGATGGAGGAGACAATCTTCTTGATTCATGCTGACGGTATGGGCTTCCATATGACTACACATGTGTGTGGGTTATACTGGAGACAGTGCAAAATGGAAAGTGCATCATCTCTGTCACTC